TTTAGTTAGAGTACAGGTGTTTGGAGAAAATATTATTTTATATTTTTGGAATATACATATGGTAATTATATTACATATAGTAAGTATGTTAGTTTTTAGTTATATCATGTTAGTTGATTCAAAAAGTATGTTTTTAATTTGTATTTAATATTTTTGGGATTGATATTTTCCTTCAAGGTTTTAGGTAGTTTATTAATTAATTTAGGAATAATAATCTTATTTTGATGATCGCCATACATATTATGAGTTTTAGCTATAATTAATTTAGGGTTATATATACTTCTAAGCTGATGTTTGTACGTAGGTATGACTTGTAATTTTGTATTAAAGAACTGTTCTACAAGTAAAGTAAGTTTTAATTTTTTTTCTATTGGCAAGATACCACAGTATTTAAATAATTGGTTGTAATTGTCCTTATATTGTTGTTTGATTTTAGGGGGGACAATTGTTTTGATGATTCTAAGTTGTAATTCATGGATTCTACAAAGATGCGATTTCCATGTTCTACCATAGCTACTTAATCCGTATTCTATTATTGGTTCGGCCAGAGCCTTATAAAGGGACAATAATGTAGTAAAGGGAACTTTATACCTAACGATAGAAAATTTGGCAAGTATGGCCCTTAACTTATCACACACTTTATTAATATGGTGCGTCCATTTAAATCGACTGTCTATTATGACTCCAAGGTAAGGTTGTTGTTCAACTAATTCAATATGTGTACAATTACAAGTCTGGTTAGACATGTTATTATGGAGACATTGGTGGCTGTGGGCAACGAGTTTTAAAGGAACAGATACTCTATTATGACTGGATGAAATGTACATCATTTTTGTTTTTGTGGCATTCAGAACAAGCCCCGCATCGTGAGACCATTTCATAAGGTTAGTGAAATCTTCTTGCAATTTCTGTAATGCCACATATATGTCATTTTCTGCCGCTAGAATACAGGTATCGTCTGCAAACTGATATATATTGCAGTTTTTAATTAAATTGGCAACGTTATTAACATAGGTCAAGTAATGCAAAGGCCCAAGCACAGATCCCTGTGCAGTACCATGAGTGACTGTTTTCTTTTTACTTGTAGCATTTCCTACTTTAACTCTATATGCTCTCTCTTTAACATAGTCTGCACCAATTTAAAAGGGGTCCTCGCAGTCCACATTCATCAAGCCTTTCAATCAGTAAGTCATGTCTAAGGGTGTCGAATGCTTTACTATAGTCAATGAAAAGTACTAGAACATGTTTTTTATTATCAAGATAATGGTTTACGTCGTCAGTAAAAGAAGATAAAAGTTGAGTGGTACTTTTATGCTGCTGAAAACCATACTGACTTTTATTTAAAATTGAGTGTTGACTATAGAAATTATTTATTTGTTTACTTATATACTTTTCAATTATTTTGTCTAGTGTAGGTAATATTGTTATTGGGCGATAATTGTATAATCCGTTTTGCTACCTTTTTTATGTACGGGTCTTACAATTCCAGTTTTTAATTCAGTAGGGTACTTGCCTTTTTCTATACACGCATTTATTAGGTCGGCTATAGTTACCGATATTTTGTCCGCAATGGATATTAAGTCTATTGCTCGTATGTTGTCTATACCTGGTGCTTTGTTCATTTAAATGTTTTTATTATTTTAGCTACTGAGCTTGGAGTAGCCTTTTGATATCGAAATGTTACGTTTACAGGCAATCTGTACAAGTTCATCGGTAAAAGGGGTCGATTTCAGGACGGTACGATGCTTGAAACATTTTTCTGAAAGGCCTGAGCGAAATTATTAGCGATATCAAGTGGCGTCACTTTTTCATTTTGAAATGAATTTAAAATTATATTATCGATGGAAGGACTTGTCCGACCCGTGATCTTATTTAGTATTTGCCAAAGTCTCATCTGGTTATTTTTATTATTATGTATATCCGTTTTGATGTACCAATTTTTTGTTTTTTGTATCAGCTTGTTAGTCGAATTTCGTATTTTATTATGTATATTGTCTGTATTTTTTAACCACAAAGAATACCAATAGTCCCTATTCTCACATGCCCTTTTAGTTCTTTCATTACCTAATCCATTTATTTTCTGTCCTCGTTAATGTTCTATTTTTTACCCGAATTGTTGTTAAGGCATCATTGTAGCGTCTATTGAAATTATCTTTAATGAATTTGTATATTTCAATGGGGCAACTAATACCTTTAGTTGATTCCCAATCTATTTTATTTAATAAGGTAGAAACTTTTTTGTGGTCTATATATGTTTTAAATTTAGGAGCCGCCTCTATATAGTGCTGAGATCCAACACAAGCGAATGTCGTCGCCTCGTCGCACAGTGGTGTAGCGGACCACTGTGCGACACGTGTTGCCATATATACAGATTTCCCCGTATTTATACAGATTTTTGGTGTATCACACACAGATTAGCCTCAGGGTACAGATTTTTATACAGAGTTTTCTAACTCTATTGATTGAATTACCATAATATTCAACTTAAAATAGAATGAAGCAAAATAAGTGACTAGATACCGTGTTACACACATTCATGATTCTATTATTTATGGTTAATTTATTTTTTCACAGCGTAATTAGTTATTATGGCAGAATTACAAGTGTATTACAAAATATGTATACAAGGTGTAAGTGTAAACACCGTTTTCACTAAAACCATAGGTAGTTTAGTTAGTAGGCTTTAATATTAAAATATTTATCCGAATTCTAAAAAAACCCTATTTTCTTTTATAAAATTTAAGAGGTTTCTGTCCGAAACCGTCCTTAAATTCATGGATACCCTATGCGCCCGGGTGACATAATCACTGTAAAGATAACCGCCCGCGCTAGCTACCTACACTGTATTACAATAAAAACACAATAGGTACACATAACCTGTGATGAAACTTCCTTCATACTTTCACCCTGGCTTAGGACAGGCAAAATTGAGGAATTAAGGAAAAATTGAGATTTTACTAAAAAAAAATACGTGTGGCACTCGGTGACTGCCGCGGTAAAGCTATTGCATAGCATTTTTTATCAACTTATGCAATTATAATTATTTATTTATTTTATTTATGCAGTTAAGTCTTTGATATTAAATCAAGTTACACTTTTTGAGCGTGGTGACCGATAAGAAAACAATTTTTTTCTCTTATTGAATAAATGAGAAGTTAATATTGTTTAAAATATTTTTAATATCTTACAATACATGTAGGTTATTCAGGAATTTTTATCATTGAGTTAGCAGCTAGTGTACACCCATACGTCTAGTCGCACGCACACAAACACCGTGCCGAAGTCTGCCGAACTGAAACGACGTTAGACGATGCACGGCTTTCAACGCCACACCTCCGTGCCCGTCGGAGTGGGGATCGTGAGGTTTTTTTTCGTTACGGAATTTCTGGATTCGGTCCCCGCGCTCAAGGCCCGCGATAGAAGCTATGCAATAGCTTAAAAAATGTTGTTTTTTTCATTGAATTTACGTTCCATAAGTGAAACCAAACCACTGGTTTCAAGTATAACGGTGTTTACATTAACGCCCTGTGTATAAAATATGTATAACTGAAAATAATAAAGTAATTATATGTTCATTTGGCAAATGTTTGAGTTTTAATATGTTGTTTGCTTAAATTATTGTTTTCAATTTTGCTATATAAAAAATTTAGTGTATAGTGTATATTTTATACGTGGTAGAGCCACGTTGCAGCTATATTAAGGTTGCAGCACTGCAACCATAATAGCTGCCGCTGGGGAAGGGCTACGCTCTCACAGAATACCAGCGTAAAATACCAGTTTAATACTGCTGTGTTTCGTATGGTGAAAGTAGAAATCCGGAGACCCTTTTTAGTGGAAATGAGGCATCCCCTCTTGGTCCTCAGGCGTGACAACGTATCTGCGTTTTAATTCTTAAGCGAGAATAAATGTAGATGTTTGTGGGCCAGCATCCGCTTACCATCGGTGGACTGTGTGCTCGTTTGTCACCCTTATTCTATAAAAAAATATTTTTATTTAACAACGATAATCAAACCGTATCTGCTTATCACGTTAGTAGTTATTCCTTGTTTTTCAAAAAAAGCAATGATGATGATGATGATCAATTATTCTATTTTGGTTTATTAAATTATACAGATTTTATACAGATTTAAGTTTAAATAGCATACAGATTTAATACAGATTTTAGCAGTGTCTAATACAGATAAAAGGTTCAAGACGTCTGGCAACACTGGTCCGCTAGTACGGTTCTAATGCCCCATTTACATTCAGCCCGTTTGGGCAGGGAAGTGAGCAGGGCAGTGAGCAGGGCAGTATGTAAACAGGCTACTCGCGCTGACACTGCCGCTGCCGCTGACACTGCCCGAAATGTCGGTTTTTCGTGCGGAAGTCAAAGGACGGGCAGCGCGAGCGGCAGTGTGTGTTCACATTCAGCTCAGGGTTGCCAACCGTACGAGGTTCCTCGTACAAATACGAGATTTGTGGTCTTCCGTACGAGGTACGAGGACACTATCAACCTCGTACAATTATGTACGAGATCTTGATAATATGGCTCTAACATTTTGCACCACTATTATAAAATAGTAAAAACTAGTACCATCTATCAGAACTTGAAGGAACTTCTTACACCAAAAATTTAATTGCCGCATTTACGCGATGATTGTCTATGGTAGCCTAAATCAGACTTGGCTGTATCGGCTCAGCTCCCTTTGCCTGTCCCAAATAGGGACGAAAGGAATAAAAAAAATTATGTAGCTCATAGACTTTGTATGTACCCGTCAACCGGGTAACGGAAATCCCCGACCAAAACATTTCGTTCTTCGCATTAGTCGTCTATGTCACACATAGCGCAACTTTCTCTGTTCTTTACGTGTTCCATTCGTTGCATGCCGGCCGTGTTTAGTTGTGCTACAATATTACGTGTAGCTAATTGAAGTTTTTGTAAAAAAAGAAGATTTTATTGTTAAATACCTAGTCCTTACGTTGTTTGGACCATTGTTTAGTGGTATAATAGAAGTATCGTAATGAGTGATAATGACGTAAACAGTGACCGTTCGCCTACTTTGACTCCGCTTAGAAAATTACCCAAAAAAGGTGCTTGGACAAGAAAAAAGGAAGGTAACGCATTATCGCAACATCGTGTACAAAATTTTAGACAGCAATGGTTAAACGACCCGACTTTTAAAGACTGGCTTTTGCCAGACACCAATGATTTAACAAAAGCTAAATGTGTATATTGCCCGGGAACATCAATGGTAGCTGAACTATCCAATTTAAAAACTCATGCCTCTACCAAGAAACACCTAGGCAACAAACCCGGATCCAGTGGAAAAACACAAACATTAACATCGCTTGGATTCCAAAGAGGTATAACTCCACAAAATAGAGAAAAAGCTCGTGCAGAAATTAAACTTTCTGCTTTTTTTGCGGAGCACAATATTGCATTCTCGGTTGCTGACCATTTGACAGATTTATTAAAAGAAGTTGTGACGGATTCTAAATTAATCAAGGAAATTGAACTTAAACGAACCAAAATTACAGGTGTGATAAAGAACGTTCTCGGAGAAGGTCATAAGGCAGATTTAGCCCAAAAACTACAAAAAAATCAGTTTTCGGTGATGACGGACGAGACGACCGATGTTTCTACGGTCAAAACTGCTTGCGTTGTGGTACGCTATTTTGATCAAGAAGCTCAAAAGATATGTAGCGCATTTTGGGAGCTGTACAAAGTTTTTAAGGAAACACCTGATGCTGTTGATATTCCTACTGCCAATGCCGAGAATTTATACAGAGCTCTTATTGATTCATTTACTAACCGTAATGTTCCATTAACAAATGTGATCGGCTTTGGCTCAGATGGGTGTAATGTCATGATGGGTGATAACGACTCAGTGAAAACAAGGTTATTACGCGATTTTCCAGGAATCATAATCACGAAGTGCGTTTGTCATTCGGCCCATTTGTGTGCCAGTGAAGCCTGTAAACAGCTGCCTGAAGGTGTAGAACAACTGGCTAGAGATATCTACAACTTTTTTAAACATAGTGATAAACGGCTATTTGATTTTCGTAACTTCCAGTCGTTTGCTGCAGTGGAGCCTCACAAAATACTGAAACCATCACAGACAAGATGGCTTTCCTTATTATCAGTGGTTGAAAGGATATTAGAGCAATGGGAAGCCCTACGTCTTTTTTTTATCGATTTTACGACAAATCGTGCACATAGAGCAAGAGCCGATGTAAGAAATCGAGCAGTATTTATTCTCGAAAAACTCAGCAACCCATTCTACAAACTTTATTTCTGTTTCCTTGAATGGTCGCTCCCTTTATTCAATAAGTTCAATCTGGAATTTCAAAGCGAGAAAGTAGTTGTTCACAATCTACATGAGAAAATTCGTACACTCTTTTTTTAACGTGGTAGAGCCATGCTGCAATTATATTAGTAGTATAGTTGTAGCACGAATGGGTCGGCTCGACCGGGGAAGGACCACGCTCTCACAGAATACCAGCGTGAAATAGTAGCTTAATGCTGCTGTATTTCGTATGGTGAGTGTAGAGAACCGGAGACCCTTTTTACTGGAAATGAGGCATTCCATCTCAGTCCTCACGGGTGACAACGCATCTGCATTTTGATTTGTAATGGAAGATAGATGTAGATGTCTATGGGCCGCAGCAACCACTTACCATCAGGTGGACTGTGTGCTCGTTTGTCACCCTATCCTATAAAAAAAAAAAAAAAAAAAAAAAAACTCTACCAGGAAATCCTATTGCGTTATTTACAACGCGAATATGTTATGAGGCCAAATCTTGGTGAAATAAACCCTGAAAGTCAGCGACATCAGCTCCATGACAATGCACTGTATCTTGGTGTCAAAGTGTATGAGCTCTTGAAACATCCAGATGTGATCAGACAGCCCACAGATATCGCTCAGTTCTTCTCATGCTGCAAAAATTTCTACAAAGTTGCAGCCATCGAAATTAAAAAACGATATAACATGGAAGATCCTGTCTTGTCAAAGCTACAAGTTTTTGAGCCTGCATCTGCACTCTCCTACAATTTTAGGAGCAATTTCCCTACACTTATGCCTCTTATGGAAGTGGTCCCCCGAATAATCGCAACAGCTGATCATGCAAAGAAACAAATAATCGACAATCAATGGAGGAGTTTGCCAAATGCACAAGCTCGTCATCCTAAAGGGTTGAATGAAATTAGTGAGCCAGATAAGTTTTGGGCTCAATTACTGAAAACTGAAGACTTTTCCGAGCTAGCTCATTTTGCCCTATCTACACTGTCCCTACCCCATGCGAATGCTGACTGCGAGCGGGTTTTTAGTAAAATCAATTTAATAAAGACAGAAATACGAAACCGGCTAACTGTGGAAACAGTGAACGGCACACTTCTTGCTGCAGAGAGCGCAAAGGGTTCAACTCGTACTGGAAACTTCGTCAATTTTGAGCCCACAAAAGAAATGTATAGTCGCATGACAAAAGATAAAATATACGGCAGAAAAAACGATGACAGTGAGGATGTTCCTGACATAATATTTGGAGAGGAGATGTAAACTAAGTTACCTTTACCTTTTTGTTACATTTTAATTGTCGTAATAATATAGCCACATTTAGTTTTTTTTTTTGTGATTTTACTTGAGTAATAATAAAGGTTTTTTTTAAATACTTATAAAACTTGAAATAGTTTATTTCATTGAGAAAAAGTCCTAAATCCAGTAGTTCAATATACATTAATTTTGGTTTAGCACGTTTTCGATGCATAGTAAATGTACGAGGTTTGAAAGTCAAAATACGAGATTTTTAGCTGCCTAAGTACGAGGAAATATTTTTTACTGTTGGCAACCCTGTGAGTGTTCACATTCAGCTCCATCGCTCATGCAACTTAGAACATTATTTTGAGAACAAATTGATATCTTTTTGTGCTGCCATCTTTCGTGTGGGGCATGTAAACTAAGACTTACTTTTATCGAACTAGAGGGCACACTTATGTATTAAGTCTATGCAAAGGAAACAATCCATGTGCTACGTACATACGCAATAAACAATAATGGCGGTCGCTATTCACTAATAGTAAAGCTTAAATAGAAATCAATTTAATATTATTCCGATTTCTAGTGCATTTATATACTGTGCTGTGTGTGTATTTAGAAAGGATAAAACCGATTGTGAAATTTACAATAACTACCGCATTTGTGATCGGATCTTTGAGGATTGTTTTTTATATCCTCGAACCAAGACTTCCCAGACCCCAGTCTTGAACCTTGGTAAGTCTATTAAAAGCTTTCTCACTGTCATGTTTAATAGCAATTCTTTTAGCAGTAAGCCCTAGATTATAACGCAGGGTAAGGTTTACAATTCACACACTGGCTTAGCAATAAAAGTTTATTCACTTTTATCAGTTTCTTTGTTAAATATTAAGCTTTAGTCGTATTTTTCATTAGAGTCATGTCATGTGTCCCCTCTACCAACTCTTTTTTGGAAATGTGGAAAGTATACTCAATGGTAGCATATATAATGTAATTAAAAGGAAAACTATCGCAGCAAATTAGAATTAACAAGTTGGATTAGTAAAAATTTTGTTACAACTCCATAGAAAATGACATAAAACAACATTATAACTTTGTAATGCTATTGTGAACTGTAAGAAATAAACATTTTATGAAGAAATCTTACTTACTTACTACTTTCATTTAGTTGGTAGTTATTGTTGTCCCTTTCAAAGTACTCATATAATGAAATAGCCTCACACAGTTTCATTTGTAATACTCTTGGTTTATGCGGGTGACCCACAGTATAATTTAGGGTAGTAACAGATTACCTAATTGGTAAAGTTTTCGATTATTACTTATAACATTATTTTGAATGATTTTAATAGAAAAAAAAGCATGTATCACAATAAAAAATATCTACATATAGAGTGTAACTTCATCTTTTTGTAAATTTTAAGTATTTGACTGCTTTATTACACACCTTAATTGCACAGATCGGCAAAGAGTGCCTACTTAGTGGTAATGATTCTTGTAATAATAAAATAGATTCTGTAAACAGTTTTTATAAATGCAGAAAGTTTTTAAAACCATTACCTTGGCAGAGGGAAATAACCATGCGGGGCGTGTCCATTGGGTTTAATGGTTTAAGGTGTGGCCCGCCACGCACTTGGCCGGTACTTTTTATTTTTTATTTTGTGATGTGAATGATTACAATGAAAATACATTAATTTATTCCTTAATATTATAATAACACTTGAATGCCTCATTGGTCTAGTGTCGTAAATGCAATTGTTGACCATGAGATCCTGGGTTGGGCCAAAATCTGTTTTTGGGCATTTCTATCAAGAAATTCTCAGCAGCAGTCTGGAGATAAGAAATTAGCTGCGTTTCACCCCTCTTGCCTTGGAAAGCACATAAAGCCGTTAGTCCTGTTTTCTCACTCTCCGGTCGTGACGAAATACCATCCCATTGGATTATGAGATGACCTGTGCTTGCACATACACTTGGGCACTATAAAATTTGGTCTGGCGGACATTATTATTATTATTAAATCTGTAGAAAAGTTGTGTCTGTAATTCTAATATATTTTTGAAAAAACAAGTCCAAGGGACTAAGTAAAAGGCATTGAAGCCGAGGGGGGGGGGGGATTTAAATTCATCATTGTTTTGTTAAAACTAATTTTAATGATGAAAGAATGTACATATTAACACAATTTTTTCCAAATTTAAAAAGGTTAATAAAAAATTGATTTTAAGACAATTTGGTTATTGATACCTTTTTTTATGGATACATCAGAAGATACACCTGATATAAAAAATAGCAGGTGATTATAGACATAAGATATTAATGCAATTACGAAAAACTTCATTCACATGTTCCTATAACATATTATATCTATGCCAAATATCAATCATCTATGTTCAATAGTCTTTGAGAATTCAAAACCAAATCTTTGACAAACAGACATAAAGAAAGACACACAGCGAGGTGACTCTAATAGTGATTGAATTTTGCTAAATTTAGAAGGAAACAACATTTATCAATGTTGCTTAATTAAACCCCACGCGGGCGAAGCCGCGGGTAAAAAGCTAGTAATTATGATATATGGTATGTAGCAGTGAACAAAACAAGCCCAAGAGAGTTTTATGTGTTACTCATATACTTTCACTACTATTACAGGTTTAGATGCTGAAACATTAGGAATTGAACCCACATCACTTATACCGGATGTACTTTCTTCACAAATTTCTACTACAAGATCACACGATAATCGTATAAGAGGTATTTAATTTATTTTTTTAAAAGAAGAGGCGGAGTGGAAACGAGCATGCGGCTCACCTGATGGATAGTGACTACCGCCACCCATGTAGGACCACAACACTAGGGGCATACGCATTGCCAGCTTTAAAAAAAGAGTAGGCTCATTTTTTGAAAGTCCCAAATTGTATTGGTCCAGAAAATTCTCTGGTGGTAGTATAATATTGATAAACTCTTAATTATTGTAACTATATTCTATTACTATACCAGCAAGTGTGCGATTAGTTAAAGATTTAGTGACTGGAATTTAATAATGATAATGTCCTCCAGACTGAATTTCGGTCACTGCGGCCAGCCTCAACGGAGACTAGCCATCGGCGTGGGACAGGATTATAGTGCCCAAATGTATTCGCAAGCACAGGTGCACTATCTACTCCATCACTCTCATATTCCGATCGGACGTAAACCGACACGACCGGAGAGATATCAGGCGCAGGACCAACGGCTTTACGTACCTTCCGAAGCACGGGGGTGATATACCGTCAATTTTCTGACTCCGGGCAGCTATTGAGAATTTCTTGATGGAAAAACCCAATAATTAATTTTTTCGCCCGACCCGGGATTCGAACCCAGGACCTCATGATCAGAAGTCGCGCCAATACAACTACTAAACCAACGAGGCAGTCAATTTTTAAGGCTGGAATTTACTATAATAATAACAAGTACAACATTAAGATTTAATATCCTGAGAATCTTTTTATAGCTGAAACAAGTCAAAAGGCTTTATATCTAAACCTGGCTCACAACTCACTAGGTAAATAACATGTGGGGTAGGCAGTTGACCGAAATTATTCCTGTATCCAAACCTAGGAACGGGTTAGTCGTGGTTGCACCTTGCTTTTGTTGCATCTGAAATAACTAGAATTTTGAGAGGAAGCACTCCAGACTCAAAACTCTTGCAGATATAACTTCAAATTTTTGTTATCACTGGTCCGCAAGCCATGCAGTAGGAATGCTACTTTTTTGCACTGTGCACACAGCAGCGCTGTGCCAGCTCCAAAAGCATTCTAATAATATATTGCATAATATGTATAATATCATTACAATGCAGAAGTTAGAATTAAAATTCTTTAAAAAAGAGATTCCAATACAATCAGGTCTACGCTGTCATTATTTCATCTGATCTCTATATGATTATCAGTTTGGCATACTTTTTTTCAGATACATTTATTAAAAGAAAATGTACAGATAAAACATAAAGAAAATGTTAAACAAAATAATGATTTCAAAAAACAAAATATAAGACAAAAAAGTCAAGTAACAGCAGCAGAAAAAATTGAAGCTTTACAATTTTGTGCAAGTGTACGTATATATACTTTGTTAAATAACATTCAATATTGAAATTATTTTTTGTAAGATATCTTTTTATCGCATATTTAGTATTTACTTGTATTTCCTCTTGTGTCAAACATTTTATTGCTTCTTATTATTTAAAAAGTGCTCATAACATTTTATTTCTTTGCAGAAAATAAATTGCTGCCACAAGAATGTGAAGATACGGCAGATATACTACTCCTGTTTGATCAATTGTTTGATTCTTTTAATGGAGGTTCCTGTAAGAAAACATACAGGATCTATAAAAATTGTGTAAAACCAAATTCATTGTTTAAGTTAGTAGTTAAGTGTTATTTTGTCATTATTGATTTTAATATGTCTGCCTTTTAATATTTTATTGCACCATCTCTTATGCAATCTTTGAGGGTCTGAACTATATACAATTAACTTGATCAACAAATTTATGATAAGGGTCTTTACTTTTTATGTTTATGTCATGTTGGAAATTTTAATTTGATATTTATTAACAATTTAATGACTTGAAATATCCCATTTAGGGGGAATCATTGGTCAAATGTTTTTATTTATTTTTGTTATAATCTCCTCAACACATTATGAAGTTCTGTGAAAGTTGCAAAAACGTTTTTCTTGAAACTACAAATTTGATGTATTTGTTTGGTGTGGGGTTGTCTTACAAAGATCATCATTACAATTATTATATCAATTACATACTATATTAATTTTTGTAATTGCTTGTATGTGTGGTCGTAATTACGTCAACGGAAGTGCTATTCTATTGTATATTAAAGTATTCTATGGTATGTTATAATACATATATGAAATGCTCATTTTGTAGAAAAAAATATATTGATTTACACATGTAAACAATGGTATAGTGGGCATAAGAAAGTCACTTTTGTAAATTATTTGTATTTTAAAAAAAGTGTAGTTATTACACACATTTAAAAAAA